AAATGAAAGGTGGCAGAGAGAAGAAAAAATCTTATTACATCTGCCCCTTTTTCCTCAAGTATAAATTCAAACAATGATCTTCAGTTAACAAAACACTTGATATTTTGACTTGATATTTTATCCCAAACCTAAAGTTTAAAACACATATTATTTATAAAGTTTGCCCCATTAATTCATTTCACGCACTCGGTATTAACAGACCATCCCTCTGTTCCATACTCCATACGTATGTGTGTGTGAGCTGCAGCACAACCAATCAAATTAACAAGATTTAAAAATAAAACACCCAGGTAACGCTTTCTTTTACGGTACCCTTATTACCATGTAATTACAAGGTAATAAAAATGGTAATCAAATGATATTACTACCTTATTACTATGTAATTACACGGTAATTAGGGCACAATTTTACTATGTAATTAATTGTCTGCAGTAATGTAGCACTTACCTGGTAATGTATTACAATTCACTATGTAACACCTAGATAAGTAGTAGGTAATTTGGACAGTTTTAAAGTTATATTTTATTGCAATTAACCATTAACCCCAAAATCTAGTTGCATTCTTTTGGTTATAAATATAGTGTTGAGTTACTATTGAATAGTAATTTGATTGTAGTTACCCAATAAAGGTAGTTTTACTAACAGTAGCTTTTCTTTTGGACCCTATTACCACGTAATTACATGGTAATATGGAAGTAATTACCTTACGTTTTATTACCTTGTAATTACATGGTAATGAGGGTACCGTAAAAGAAAGCTTTACATGTATGCTTTCACATGTATGCCATGTTTTGTCATGCTATATAAATCCGGTCCTTCAAGTGCATCCATGAGAAATGTTCAGCGTTTTAGTTCATGATTGCTGGTGGATGGTGAGCGGTGGTCCGTTTATAAAAGCAGGTTCTGTACTTGAACTCGGAGAAGAGAGTTTCTCTCTGTTCCCATCATATTGCTGAACCGGGTCCAGTTCCATCTGAGGGTGGATTATTTGAAGACATCTACATTGAGAAAATATATTGATAATAAATAGATTGTTTACTGCAGTCAGTGTACTGTCTACTGTTTTTTTTTTTCAGTTGTAACTCATCAAATGGCAGTGTGGGGGTCACATGTTGCCCATTTCCAAAACAAACAAAACAAAATCCAGTTATTTTGCTATCCTTCAGAAATTCCTGTTAAAATAAAAATTGTACAATAGTAAGGACCCTGAACATAACACACAGTGGAGTAGTTAATCCACAGTGCAGCACATTATTTTGTGTCTTGGGTAGTGATTCTGGTAAGCTTTATTCACGCAACATGTCTTTATCAATATGAGATGTGAAATTGGCAACAAACACTGTAGATTGAACCCCCATTTGAACTGACGAATATTTATTTTACCACCAAAAAAGAACACATGGTCTTTTACTTACATTTAACATATAATTACAACATTGGTAAAAACAAAAAACAAACAAACAAAAAAGACTCGAAAAGACTTGAAATTCCAAGTTTCAGACTTGGGACTTGACTGTTGCTTGTCTTGACTTTAGACTTGGCTTGACTGTCTTTGCTTAAGACTTGACTCTGGACTTGAGGATAAAGACTTGAGACTTACTCAAGACTTGCAAAACACTGACAGTCCCACCTCTGAAAAGTAGCAGTCTGCTAGCTAAAAGCAACAATTTGCAAAATACTGATGGTGCGTTCACACCAAACGCGATTTCAGCGTCAGGAGCATCAGGTTTACATACAAAGTCTATGGTGGACGCGCTTCAATCAACGTCAGGAAGTGCTGCGGCGCCTCAAGCACGATTAGAGCAGCGCGATTTGAACGATCTGAGCGTTCGACGCGCTGAGGCGCAAATCTCTGAAGTTAGAAAATCTGAACTTTTGCAGCTCATCGCGCAGCGTCAACCAGTCAGAGAGACTCCACTGTGTGATGTAGCGACATATTTCCCGACGGGACAGTTTACTGAATGATGTCCACTAACCTGAAACAGATGGAGCGGAGCTCTTTAGCTGAAATGAGTGCCTGCAGTCAGTGTCCTGATCCGCAGCAATGCGTGGCAGCGACTCATCAGACTGAAAAAAATAGTCCTGAAAGCGAGCTGTGAGCCTCTACTCTGAATTATCTGGTGAATTAATTATGAATTAATTATCTGATGAATGTGACATGCTCTTGCTCTCTGTAAATAAAGCAAAGCCACTTCCTCGTCCGACATTAAACAGAGCCCGACAGAGGAGGGAGGGGCGGGGAGGCTCTTGCCGTGCAGCGCTTCAAGAGCTGACCTGCGTCTGACCTCAAAGTGCACAAGCTTCAAACTTCAGCGTTGGCTGCGATTTTGAAGCTGAAATCGCATTCGGTGTGAATGCAGCATAAGAGCAACAAGTTGTAAATGGCTAGCAAAAAGTCAAAAGCATTAAAATGCAATCTAAAATCTAAAATTAGCAAAATACTAGATAGAAGCTAAATGTATAAAATGGCTGACTAAAAGCTGAAAGTAGCAAATGTTTAGCTGAAGGCTAAAAGTTGCAAAAGGCTAGGTAAAATCACCAATTTGATAGTTAAGAAGAGCAATTGGATAGCAAAAACAACCAAACAAAAAAGGTTAGTTAAAAGTATTGAAGGGCTATATAGAAGCTTAAAATGGAATGGCTGACAAAAAGGAAGAAGTAGAAAAAATTAGCTGAAAGCTAAACATGGCTAAAGACAGGCTAAAGGTAGCAAAACACTGGCTAAAAATAGCATGAGAAGATAAAAATAGAGCAAATATGCTAAATGCAGAGTTCAAAACGGAAAATATTTTTGTAGCAAATAAAGTGATCCCGTTTTTTGTTCCCTGTCGCTGAGGCGAGGGACATGCTCTCAGTCGGTCCATTCGTCTGTTACAGTTTCAGAAAGCTGTAACTAAAATACACCAAGCTTGATGAGTCATCCATGTTGCATGCCTGACCATACCATATGGTCATGTGACATCATCAAAGCCCCGCCCCCCTGACAACAAGTGACCTTTTTTTTTTGGCTTGGAAGACTCCATCTCTGACCTTCTGGACCGAATCAGCAACAAATTGTGTCAGAACACAAAGCACAAAGACTTTTTGGTGAAAAGCGTGGTCATGGTGGTGCAGTGAAATCAGACATCACGCCGTTGACATACGTTTGGCTCTAAATTCCACATATTTCAGCCAATCTGCAACCTATTTGCTATGATCGATCCTAATCAAGCCCACTACAGAAATGCAGTCCAATTTTGAGGAGAAGCATGGCCTAATTCCTCCACAGCGCTCCCTATAATTATTTTAAAAATTAGCCCCAAGCCATGCTTGGACCTGGTGGGGGGATGGTGTGGGCGTGGCAGAGTGGCGAAAGCCGATGCAGTTTGCACACGCTTAGCTCTACATCACCCATACATTATCCGATCTGCACAAAGTTTTGTGTGCACCATCAGGGAGACCTGCTCAACATGTTGGTGTGCTAGTTTGACAAGATAACTTTAGCCCCCCGTCCGTCCGTATATCTGTCTGTCCACCTTATGAGATGATTTAAACAATGAAGGCGTGTGATGATTCCAACAAGACGGCTAACCGTTAGTCACTGCTGCATGGCGACGGAGGGCATCAGCGACGTTTGGCGTAGAGTTTTATCTTGTTATAGTGAAAATATCCATATTTTTAAAAGTGTAAATGTTATAAACACTCATGAGCTGAACATTTGGATAAATAAGTGGCATTAAGTATACAAAAGTAGCTGGACAGCAAGAATTGTACGGAAAACTAAAAAAGCAAGAAAATAGTGTAAAGGCTAAGTAAGCATTGACATTATTAGCCTGTTACAACTTGTTCAAGGTCCTCGTAAGAAAAGGTCAGGGGATGCTAATTTCACATTATTCATACTTTCTCAATATAATTTTTCTTCCAACAGTCAGCTGGCTTGGGCTTCACCAAGCAGCATATATGCAATCATATAATTTTGATAATAAATTAATTCCTGCAAATCAGTGGAAAGCTTTAAAAAGGCAGCGTGGAAATCTTAAAGGTCGTGTGTGGAGGTCAGAGATGTCTGGTAGAAGGAAGGGGGAAAGGGAAGCTGAGGTCTGGACCAACAAAAAGAGTAAAAAACAACAACCTTGCCAATAATTAAACCAAATAAAAACACCTGCATTTATCCTAAATGTTCTAGTTGTTTTCAAACATTAGGAAGTCAAAACTTTCTTAATTGTCACTGACCCAATTTTTTGTGTATTGTGTCCTTACCAGATGAGGAAACGGGTCTTGAGATCCGCCCCATCAGTCGGCCACCTGGGTGCAACTTGGAGCGTCGGCGCAGTCGGGCCGTCCTCTACCAGCTGTCTGGACACCTCCAGAAACAGGACAAGACTAAGAGCAAACTGAAGATTAATAATGTAAGATGAGTTGTATTTAAAGTTTCTGCAAACACCAACATAATCTCTCGTGTCTCTAATGTGCTGGTGTTTGGAATATTTCTGTAGAGTGTTTTTGGAGCCAATGCTAACCCGATCCCTGAGTATAAGGTGGCTGATGTCCAGAAGTCCCGTTTGATCCTCCTGCACTATGGTGCGTTCAAGGCCGGCTGGGATTGGCTGATCTTGTTGGCCACCTTCTACGTAGCCATCACCGTTCCCTACAACGTTTGCTTCACTGCCGTAGAGATACGGGAGGACGGCGGCGCGGCGGCTCGAAACCCTCCGAGTGTCAGCGACATCCTGGTGGAGATCCTTTTCATCATCGGTGAGTTGGATTTCAAATTAATCAGCATCATTATTTTTGTGTTGTTTTGCTGGTTATTTGTTGTAATCAAGGTCTTAGTTGTGCATTTTTATGTTTTTTTAAAAAGCTCCCTTAACTCAAAACCATTCTTGTATTTCCTTCCTGATATTAAAATATGTTGCTCCTGATCTCCATGGTCTAATCAAATCAGTCTCTCTTCTTTTATTAGCTCCTTAAAATGGACCATAATTCACATTTCATTCAAACTAAAGCCTTAGAATCACCACTTCCCTATCATTTCACAAGACCGTTAATCAGCATAGAGTTTAACACTTTTTCTAGATTAAATAAAAAAAGAAACATTAAAAAAACTGCTTCTGCTCAAGCACCTACTCAACAAGCTGATGAAGACAAACGAGAAGGGGGAAACAAGTAAATACATAAAAGATCTTAGTTTAGAAGGAAAATAAATTGTATAGGTCCTCTGGACGGGTTCTTCTCTAATGAAACGTTTCATCTCTCTTCCAAGAGACTTCTTCAGTCTGAGAGTWTCAGGCAAAATTCAGGCTTTTAAGCACTGCCTCCATGTGACTGATGCTCACATCACATGGCTATCGTTGACACCTAATTTAACACCTATTGTTAACAGGGGGTGGAGTGATACTGCCAATGGCAGCGCTGTAGGAGGGGGACAACTGAAAACGGAGGCCTCCACCTCTGTTTAATGATGGACGGTCTTTCTTCACAAAAATGGCTTCTTTTACTCCTCTCTCAAACCAACGTTCCTCTCTATCAAGAATGAGAACATCCTCATCTCTGAAAGAGTGACCGCTGGCCTGTAAATGAGTGAAAACTGCAGAGTTCTGGCCATTAGATGTAGCTCGTCTGTGTTGGGACATTCTTTTGAACAGTGGTTGCTTTGTTTCCCCCATGTATAACTGGTCGCAGTCCTGTTAACAATAGGTGTTAATTAGGTGTCAACGATAGCCATGTGATGTGAGTATCAGTCACATGGAGGCAGGGCTTAAAAGCCTGAATTTTGCCTGAAACTCTCAGACTGAAGAAGTCTCTTGGAGGAGAGACGAAACGTTTCATTAGAGAAGAACCCGACCAGAGGACCTATACAATTTTTTTTCTTTTGATTTTTTACCTGGATTACTGAGATGCATCAGGACATCTTAGTTTAGAATTTTTACAATCTGTGCCTTTATGTAGGATAGCCAGTTTTGTTAGATTTTTGTTTTTATTTTCTAAAAAAAAAAAAAGAAGGATCTCTCTAATTCAGCTTGTATGTAGTTGGAGCTGCAGTATTAGTCGCTTGGTCAGCAGCACTGTGAATGCTATTAAGATCTTATTAGCAGGAGAGAGAGCAAGTGAAGCAGGCCACAACCCAAACACTTACTGTAAGTCATTAGGAGCAATATTCTCTCTAGAGAAATTGAACAACAATATGTCTCAGCCCTATGCTTGTCACCCTAATTTGACCCGATTCGGTTCTTCACGGTCTTGTTGGTTTTCCAACTGAGTGCCACCTCAGTGTGAGCAGGTTGTCACAAAGTGGTCACCTGAAACCAAGCACCCACGTGTAAATAAGTGAAATAAAGTAAGAAAACACTTAATATCCTGTTATAGTTTCCAAAAATGCCAAGGGGATGGGAGAGCGGAGGCCATCTTTTCTCCACCAGTCCAGTCAAGTCTGTTTGGTTTTGCTCCTACTGAATTCAGTTATCAGCCAATGAGCATGTTGCATGTTTAACAAATGATGGGTTTGATTTCTTTGAGATGCTCTAATTGGATGTTGCTCTCCGGCCTATCAATGAGCTGCAGTCTGCTGACATCAGATCTTCAGCCTGACTTGGTTCACTTGCAGCCAAGTAAGAAGCTGAAAGTTGATGGGATCAACCAATGGAAAAACCCTGAACCTGTGCCGAGTCCGTCCAAATACAGCCAAGTCAGGCCCATGAAATGGGCCCTTTGTTTGCTACTCTAAAGGGTCTGGACAAAACCCTGAACCCCCACTGCCTCTGATGTGTGTCCCATCAGTGTATGAATGTGATTTAAAGCACTGATTAATCTCTGTAGAATGATTTATTGAGATTAAGTTTGTAGAGAGACAAAGTAGTGTGCTCTGTGAAAGAGTAACTGAGGGTACAGATTGTGTTGTTCTAGATTTTGAATGTTCAAAGCTCACTGCCCATCCTAGCTTTCCATTGCTGTCCGTCTGTCTGTTTACACGTCCGTCCATCACGTCTACATGAAAGCAATATGAAAGCTTTGAGATTAAAGCTGTTTCAAGACAGCAGCACTCTACTTCAGTCTTGTTTGGACCTGCTTTTAGCTTGGGTAGCTGGGTAGAGTACACAGAAGTTGTACTCAAGTAAGAGTAGCACTACTTCAGCATATTTTTGCTCAAGTAAGAAATTACTCAAGGAAGAGTAAAACAGTTTTTCATAGTTAGATAGATATTGGTCCTGGGCATAGATTAAAATTTTTAATTGCGATTAATCTCAAGACATTTTTGCGATTAATCACAATAAATCTTTTAGAATCATTCACTCTACTATGGTTGAATGTGTAGGCTTGTGTGTTGCAATACACTCCGTATATGACACACTGTGTACAGTTCTTTTGTTTTTCTTTTTATCCTCTTATGGATTATTTTATTCATGTATTTATTTTTGCTGACAACTGTGACAGTCTCTATCGTTCATTCCTCATGTAGTACTCGTTTGGAATGAAAAACAAAAAAATCCTTGAATACTTGATTTCACCTCGTCCTGATGCATCTCAGTAATCCAGGTAAAAAATCAAAAAGAAAAAAATTGTATAGGTCTTCTGGACGGGTTCTTCTCTAATGAAACGTTTCGTCTCTCCTCCAAGAGACTTCTTCAGTCTGAGAGTTTCAGGCAAAATTCAGGCTTTTAAGCCCTGCCTCCATGTGACTGATACTCACATCACATGGCTATTGTTGACACCTAATTAACACCTATTGTTAACAGGGGTGGAGCCGCGCTGTAGGAGGGGGACAACTGAAACTGAATTTTTGTGAAGAAAGACCGTCCATCATTAAACAGAGGTGGAGGCCTCCATTTTCAGTTGTCCCCCTCCTACAGCGCGGCTATTGCCAGTATCACTCCACCCCCTGTTAACAATAGGTGTTAATTAGGTGTCAACGATAGCCATGTGATGTGAGTATTAGTCACATGGAGGCAGGGCTTAAAAGCCTGAATTTTGCCTGAAACTCTCAGACTGAAGAAGTCTCTTGGAGAAGAGACGAAACGTTTCATTAAAGAAGAACCCGTCCAGAGGACCTATACAATTTTTTTTCTTTTTTTTTTCTTTTTGATCTCACCTCATTATTCTGCACAAAATTTAACAAAATCAAAGATGTTTAGAGTATTTTTAGGTACAATTTTATATAAAAAAGGGGCAATGCATTTTCAAAAACATTAAATAAATAAGGCAAAGCAAGCCAGTCTTACTTTTTTCTTTTTTTCTTCTCTAACACGCTGATCAGCCTCATCTGCAGACCCTCCCCTGGTTTGTTTACACTGGTTTTAAACTGAAGCGATGTTTCAGGCTCGAACTGCTCCAGTGGTGAGACGGTTTAGCATTTCAGTGCTTACAGAGAACTTTACTTCTTTCCAGCCCTCCGTTTGTTGGGAAAAGTTTTAAAAATAAAAAATATCCTGAAGAATCTGGTGACTCCCACCATGTTTCTGCCCCGGCTGCAGCTCAGTTGGGTTCATGAGAGCAGCTGTGAGTTGCCACGCAACAGTTTGAGAACAAAGGCTCTCAATGGATGAGACACGTGACGAAGGCCACCTAAAACCAATAGTGATCATAATCCCGCCTCCCCGCCGTAACCACTGGGTTTGTGTGTGTCTGTGTGTGTGTTAGCTGCCCAGTGAACAGAGATCCAATGGAGAAATAAAGTAGGGATGCACGATATGTCGGTATTGATATCGGCTGATATTGGTAATTTTTTAGAATATCGGTATCGGTCTGATATGTAAAACTGGGCCGATATTAACGTCCGATTTTGATTTCCCACTTTTTATCTTTGTGTTTCTGTTTTGGGAGGAGAGATGGTTGATTGAGCGGCATCTGTTTGATCATAATAGTAATATTGATGCTGCGTAGCCAGGAATAACTGAATTAGAGCCATGTCAGAGGTCTGGTCATTTATTTACGGTATCAAAATAAAAAAAGACCCAAGTGTAGGGTTAGACTGATTGTAGTTTTTTTGCCGATCTCCGATTTCTGATCTTTAAAAAGTCTGACCTGCCGATTTCGATTTTGTCCGATACCGATTTACAACCAACACAGTCAGGTGTTATAAGGTCACAATAGGTCTTCGATGTTCCAATCTTATTTTATTGAAAAATATTGAACAATACCCTTGAAACAATACAAACTGGGTCCTGGCCGATCTAGCGGTGCACCCCTACCCAAGTGTATTTGTGTGTATATGTATACTATAATTTGTGTGTTTGTGTAATATCGGTAAATATCGGTTATCGGCCATAAAAGCAATAATTATATTGAATATCGATATTGGCTGAAATTTTTATATCAGTGCATCCCTAAAATAAATAAATAAATAACTGTTAACACATGTTAAAGAAATTATCACCGTTAAGCTTTGGCTGTGTAAATATGATAATAATGCATTTACGTGCCCATCACTAATACACACACACACACGCAC